GATGGCCCAAGGTTTTGGGCTCATGCACCCATGTGGGAGACCCAGAAGAAGTTCCTGACTCCTGGTTTCTGATTGGCCCAGCCCTGGCCATTGTAGCTATTTGGGAAGTGAACCAGTGGATGGAAGACCTCTCTCTCTCTCTCTCTGCCTCTGCCCCTCTGTAACTCTGCCTTTCAAATAAATATATAAATCTTAAAAAAAAAAAAGTGGCATTGGCCATGGGATGGTAGGCTGGCCAGGTGCAGTCAGTAACCTCTAGGTACATGATAATGGGACTCAGTGGCTGACTGAGCAGCCCAGGATGGAGAGGAAGATGGACAACGGAGAGAAGAAGATGTGAGCCTGCTCCCTCTTGCTCTCCCCAGGGAATGCTGCCCACTGGCTGACTACAAAAGGGAGAACAGATGGTGATGTCACACTGAGGACGTCTGAGACTTGGGGCACCCAGAAGAGCTGAGACATGGGCCCAGGCACTCTGACATGGGATGGGGCATCTCACCCAGCCAACTCAGTGCCCTCCCCCTTTTAAAAACTTCCTATTGAGGTATGATGTACATAGAAGGCTGGTAATCAGTGCTGAGACCAAGGCATGGGACACCAAGCACACGTGGATGTCCACGCACAGAGGCTGTTCTTGCATGTCCCCGTCCGGTCGGTTCCCTCCCACGGGTGTTTCTGACTTCCACATACACAAGTGGGTTTTGCCTATTTCTTGCTCGACGCAAGTGGGGGTCTGTTGTCTGTATTCTTTATGTCTGGTTTCTTTCATTAAGCAGTACAGTTATGAGATTTGTCCATCTTGCTTCTGTTGTCACATGACCAGGTCCAGGTTCCTGTTCCTGGTACAAGAAAGAATTTGAGGATGAGATGTGTGTGAAAGCCAGCAGAGAAGCAAGATTTATTTGCAGACATGAAAGCACACACTTGAAAGAGAGTGGGGGTTGGGACCGGCGCTGTGGTGCAGCTGGTGAAGCTGCCGCCTGCGGTGCTGGCATCCCATGTGGGCTCCGGTTCGAGTCCCAGCTGCTCCACTTCTGACCCAGGTCTCTGCTGTGGCCTGGAAAAGGAGTAGAAGATAGCTGAAGTCCTTGGACCCCTGTATCCTCATGGGAGACTTGGAGAAGCTCCTGGCTTTGGGTCAGCTCAACTCTGGGTGTCGTGGTTATTTGGGGAGTGAACCAGCAGATGGAAGACCTCTCTCCTCTCTCTCTCTGCCTTTTCTTCTCTCAGTGTAACTCTGACTTTCAAATAAATAAATAAATCTTAAAAAAAAAAAAGGAAAGGGAGTGGGGGCATGCTCAAGAGAGCTGCACTCATCTATCCCTTTATGTGATCTGGAGGCGCAGGGGGTGGTGTCTTAGATGGGGCTTAACTGAAGTTCATAAAGAGCGGGACCTGGAGACAGAGTTGTGTGCCCTGCATCTCCCTGCTCTTCCTTGGAAATCTTAGGTGTGTGAGGTGTATGATGGGAGTAGGCGTGTCAGCCATGATAATTTTATGATAATGACCTTAAAGGTCATCGTGGGGACACAGCCATATTACTTATTTTTGGCCAGCACCAATTCTAAGCAGCAGTTTCACAGAACTGTGGTTTTTCTGGTGGGCCAAGCTGAAGTGAGGAGCCTGGAACTCCTTCTAAGTCTCCCACATGGTTTAAAGAGGCGCAAGCATTTGGGCCATCTTCTGCTGCCTTCCCAGGCGCTTTATCAGGAAGCTGGATCAGAGGCAGAAGAGCCAGGACCAACGCTGCGATATGGGACGCCAGCATTATAAGCAACAGCTTAACCTGCTCTGCTACAACACCGGCCCCAGGTAGTGTTTATTGAACACTCATGAAGGCACAGTGCTAAGGACTTTGCATGTGTTATCTCATTTAATCGTCATAACAATTCTATGAGACTGGAAGTCTCATTATGCAAACTTTGGAGTTGAGTAAGCTGACATTTAGTGAGGCTAAGGAAATTTCCCAAAGGAACTTGGCCAACAGTCAGTTAGAGCTAAATCAGTGTTGTGACCAAGATTGAAATGCAGGCCTCCTGTTCAACCTGACGTCCAGCTCCTTGGCCATCCCCACGGGAATCTAAGTCATGCGTATGAGCCAGTTTGCTCCAGATGGAGAAGTCTGTGCTGTAATCGTGCTGGTATGACCTCAGGATTCCAGCAGCTGGCAACTCCATACACAACGACATAGCGTAAACGACTCAGTGGTTAGTGCCCCTGCTTTCTGCGGCCCTCAACCCTGACCTCTATTAATTTGTTTTAAAAGATTTGTTTATTTATCCCAAAGGCAAAATTACAGAAAGAGAGAGAGGGAGAGAGAGGTCTTCTATCGGTTGGGTCACTCCCCAAATGGCTGCAATGCTGGGGCTATGTTGGGCTGAAGCCAGCAGCTTGGAACTCCATCCTGGTCTCTCACATGGATGCAGGGGCTCAGATAATTGGGCCGCCACCTACTGCTTCTCCAGGCCCATTAGCAGGAAGCTGAGTCAGAAGTGGAGCAGCCAAAACTGGAACTGGCTCTCATACAGGATGCTGGCGTTGCAGACATTGGTTTAACACGCGGCCATTATTTGACCCAGTGTAATTAAACTGCTTCAGGTGCCCTGAGAGCCTCACTTCGTCTGTGGCCTCCTGCCTTAGGACTCTATTCTCTTTGCCTCACCTTGGCTGTCTGGGGAAGTCCTTTAAAGTCCAATCAAGCCACCTCTTTCATCCACTCTCCCTAACGTTCCTCTGATAATGTTAACCATTCTATCCTCTTTACCTTTGCATGGCAACTTATGGTTCACTTAGTCACACAGTGTTGAATACTGTGGAGCTAAGACTGGGAGTAGAGTCAAATGCCACCCTTGAGGGCAGGGATAGTTCCCATCGACTGCAGGGAAGGGCAGTTTCCAGCAGGTTGGGTGGGTGGGAAGAGGGTCTGCTTGGAGGAAATGTGCTAGGGCACCCAAGTCAGCCCACACTTAGGAATCCAGCTTCCTCTGTTTGCAGCAGTGTGGCAGAATATTTTTTTTTCCAGGCAGGGTGGACAGTGAGAGAGAGAGAGAGAGAGAAAGGTCTTCCTTTGCCATTGGTTCACCCTCCAATGGCCGCCGCGGCCGGTGCGCTGCAGCCAGTGCACCACGCTGATCCGAAGCCAGGAGCCAGGTACTTATCCTGGTCTCCCATGGGGTGCAGGGCCCAAGCACCTGGGCCATCCTCCACTACACTCCCTGGCCACAGCAGAGAGCTGGCCTGGAAGAGGGGCAAACGGGACAGAATCCGGCGCCCCGACCGGGACTAGAACCCGGTGTGCCGGCGCCACAAGGCGGAGGATTAACCTAGTGAGCCGCAGCGCCGGCCAGAATATTTTTTAAAAAGTATCAGAAAGCTCAAAAAAACCACAGGCTGATCTTTCTCTGGCCGAAGATCAGGATGGTACCTGGACTGCATCTTGGATGATGGGGAGAGGAGTTGGGGCCATGCTGAGAGAGCTGGTTGGAAGGGGGCTCTGATCTGAGACACCCTGGACACAAGCCATGCTGCCTGTGGCAGTGTCTCCTGGGGCGGTGGCTTTCGGATCACTGGCTGGTAGCCTCCCAGGCTGGAGATCCGCAGGACCGGAGAGCCTGGCATTCCCACAGCAGCCCAGATGGCCAGAGCAGTGGCAGTGGGGAGTCAAACCCTTTGAAGGCCTCACGAGTTGAAGGCATTAAAAAGAGGAAGCCAGACCAGGAAAGGAAGGCGGGGGTGGGTCTGTGTGTAGGAAAGATTGTCAGCCTGGCCCATGAGGCTGTGGGGACACTCCTGGGCCCTCTCCCAGAGGGAGGGCAAGAGTGTGACAGGCAGGCTGCAGGCTGCTGACTGTTCTCCGTGTATCAAATCTTAAATTCTAAGAAGTGAGTGAGTCCTGGAGACCTCTGGGTTATAGCTGTCTTATGGCTGTGGGGGCGCTGTCCCTCTCATCTTTGTGTCTCAGCACTTGACACACAGCAACTGCTGACCAAGTATCCTGAGAAATGACCATGGTGCATTTTCATAGAACTTAGCCTTAGTGCAGCTGTGACTCCAGGCCTCAGTAGCATGTATGATAGAGGATTGGAAAAACCCCGAAGTAGGTCAACCCTGAACTTGTTCTGTAAACCATGGGCTGTTTTTTTTTTTTTTTTTTTTGACAGGCAGAGTGGACAGTGAGAGAGACAGAGAGAAAGGTCTTCCTTTGCCGTTGTTCACCCTCCAATGGCCACCGCGGCCAGCACACTGCACTGATCCGATGGCAGGAGCCAGGTACTTATTCTGGTCTCCCATGGGGTACAGGGCCCAAGCACTTGGTCCATCCTCCACTGCACTCCCTGGCCACAGCAGAGAGCTGGACTGGAAGAGGGGCAACCGGGACAGAATCCAGCGTCCCAATCGGGACTAGAACCCTGTGTGCCGGCGCCGCAAGACGGAGGATTAGCCTAGTGAGCCACGGCGCCGACCTTAAGCAGTTCTGTAACCTGTTTTCACTGGAGGCCTGGTACACAAGCGCTCTTGCCTCTCACTCAGGTCTGGAAGCCTTGCTGTTATCATAATGTGACTCCCCTGCTCCCTGTCCTAAATCTGCCCAACAACGCTCTGCCCCGTTCCCATGCTTCAGGTGCCATGTGGGGTTTTGATTGTACTCCAAGCTGCTCAGCCAGTGAGGAACTGGGGGAAGGGACCTCTATGGGACAGGGATAAAAGGAGCTGGTCTCTGAGGGAGGTGCCTGCTTCCACCTGCTGGTCGGCACCCTGGAGTCCGCGAATCAATAAATGTCTGGCTTTCTGCTTCCTTCACGCTTCTGAGTCCATCCTTTGGTGGGTAGGTGGTCTCAGGTGGATGTGTATCCCACAAAATCATGGAGTTAGTAAAGGAGTGGAGAGGGTGGGGAATAGCACACGTACGTCCACGTGCGTAACATGGGGCCATGTCTTCCTGGTCTGACCAGGACAATAAACGTGAAACAGGAATGGAAGCTGTGCCACATGCCCCCGCCCCTTAGGTTCCGGCAGCAAGTGCGAGGAGGTGCCTGGACAAATTCCGTGGCAGTTGGACAGCAAAATGGCCACCAAGATGGAGAGCAACGAGAATGTAGTCATGACCTTCTATAACCCCGAGGTTCCCAAAGTAAAAGGGAAGCGGACATACCAAAAGGTGAGCTGTCGCCAGGTGGGAGGATGGAGACTTAGTCACGGCTGGGCTGCACGGAGGAAGCTGCCCTGCACACTCTGTGTTGTGAAGAAAGGGCAGGAAAGGACACCCACCATTGAACCCCTACATGGGGACACTCGAGGTGAAGAGTAGAAGGCCCTGGGAGTCGGGGGTGCCTTCGCGAGTGGGCAACCTTTCCCTCATCCTTGTAGCCTACGCTGCCCACCAACAAACACCCGGGGGCCTCGATGCCTCCCCAGCGGCGGCAGCAAGACGTGCACCAGACACACACCTACATCCGGATGTTCTGCGGCAGCCTCTGCGGCTTCAGCTTCCTCGTGGCCGTCTGCACGAGCCCCCTGAGCTGGGTGCAGCTGCTGGTGATCAGAGACGGCGCGGAGCTCTACGCGGGACTCTGGACCCTGTGCAGCCACGAGCTGTGCTGGACCCACACTCCCAGGCCACCCTGTGAGTGCCCCTAGCGCAGTGCCACACGGGCCAGAGCGCTCTTTCCTCTTCCCTCCCCCGAGCTCTCTCGGCCTTCTCCTCTCCAGATCCAGGGCAGCCTCGGAGGAGCGTGAATGGAGACACTTTTATGTTGGGGTCTTCGGTGTCCCCCTTTCTCCTCCTGCCCCCCATGATGAGCTGATGCCCTCTCGGCTCCGTGGGAGGAGCACGCGTGGTGTGTGAGGTGCTACTGCGCAGCTTTCTGAGGTGGTTTGCAGAAATCGGAGGGAAGTGACAGACTCCCGTGGCTGGGAGACAAAGCCAGGTGTCATGCCGACTGTCGGTCCGCCCTTCTGGGCCCACGTGGCCTGCTAGCAGTAGAAGGACATAAACATTTGTCTGTCGTGGGCTTGGTGTCCCAGCGCCAGACTTGTCGAGTCAGTTACTTGTGTCCAAATTTTATGCAGCTTTGAATAAATCTGCAGATGCAACACAAAATATTTTAGAATAAGTTTTTATTTTATTTATTTTAAAATATTTATTTAATTGAAAGGCAGAGAGACAGAGACACACACACAGAGGGAGAGTGAAAGAGATGTTCCATCTACTGGTTCAATCCCAAATGTCCACAATGGCCAGGGCTGAGCCCAGAACTCAATCTGAACCTCCCATGTGGGTAACAGGGGCCCAAGCACTCGGGTCATCTTCCACTGCCTGCCCAGACACCTGACGAGACAGGGAGCCAGATCAGAAGGGGAGCAGTTAGGACCTCAAACCGGTGCTCTGATACGGGATGCCAGCATCACGGTGGGGCCTTAACACGTGGCGCCACAACACCAGCCCCTTCAGTAAAGCACTGAAGGGAAGCTAAGGGAAGCACCCACTCTGTGTTAGGAGTGCAGCAGCAATAAATGAGGTCAGTGTTGCTCTCCCAACTGCTTTATCATCCAGTCGGCGGCAGCTGAGCCAGAGGAGGCAGGGACCCGGAGCCAAGCGGCAGAGGCAGAAGAGGCGTGTGGAGCCTGAGCGAGGGCGTGGAGCCAGGACTTGGCGGGACCTCTGCTTGCACAAGTGTGAGCTGGGCCCAGAGGGACACTCTGTGAAAAGAAAGGGGGGGCGGGGGAGACACTTCTGGGGCGTTGTATTCCTGCAGTCTGGCAAACAGGGGCCGGAAACCAGAAGGCAGCAAGTAAAGGAAGGGCGACTTTATCTGTTCAGTCTCAGCTGGCGAGTCCTGTGCGTGCCTTATGCTTCTGCAAGATAAAAAACAAATAGAAGCAAGCTGCAAGTCCACGGGTGAATGATTAAGCAAAGGATACGAGTATGAGACTATTTTGTAGTCATTAAAAGTGATTTTTACGACAGCTTCCTGGGGAAAATCTTATCCTTTAATCTCAAGGAGCAAATAAAATCCACATGACATCTTGTATTATATCCAGTATATTTAGTGGGTAGGAAAAATATGAGAAGGAAAGAAAAGAGAATGCTAACCATTGTTGCCATGAGGTAGCGGGGTCCTGACTGGTGTCCTTCATACCTCTTTGGATTATATTACTTGTAGAATTAGAAACAAGGGGGCCGGCGCCGCGGCTCACTAGGCTAATCTTCCGCCTAGCGGCGCCGGCACATGGGGTTCTAGTCCCGGTCGGGGCGCCGGACTCTGTCCCGGTTGCCCCTCTTCCAGGCCAGCTCTCTGCTGTGGCCAGGGAGTGCAGTGGAGGATGGCCCAAGTCCTTGGGCCCTGCACCCGCATGGGAGACCAGGAGAAGCACCTGGCTCCTGCCATCGGATCAGCGCGGTGCACCAGCCGCAGTGTGCCGGCCGAGGCAGCCATTGGAGGGTGAACCAACGGCAAAAGAAGACCTTTCTCTCTTTCTCTCTCTCTCACTGTCCATTCTGCCTGTCAAAAAAAAAAAAAAAAAAAAAGAATTAGAAACAAGGGAAGTTTTTTTTGTTTGTTTTAGATTTATCCATTTATTTGAAAGGGTTACAGAGAGAAAGAGATAGGAAGAGACAGAGAGGTAGAGAGAGAGATCTTCCATCTGTTGATTCATTCCCCAGATGGATGCAATGGCCAGGGCTGAGCTAGGCTGAAGCCTTAAGAGCCAGGAGCTTCTTCCAGGTCTCCCACACGGGTGCAGGGCCCTGAGGACCTGGGCCATCTTCTACTGCTTTCCCAGGCCACAGCAGAGAGCTGGATCGGAAGTGGAGCAACTGGGACACAAACTGGCACCCTTATGGGATTCTGGCACTGCAGGCAGCAGCTTTACCTGCTACACCACAGCGCCGGCCCCAAGAAAAGCTTCATGTTGGCCACGCCTCTGATAGGCTGGTCAGCCGGAGTTAGAGTGCCTAGGAGTGGTTTTCTAGGGCCTCGAGTTTCACAGTGGAGACTTTGCCTGCATAGCCACGAGGGTCCTGGTTTGTGACAGACGCTGTGCTTGCTGCAAGTGCAGCTTCCTCCCCTGTTGCGGCCACGCAGCTTTCCGAAGGGCGGCCCCTAACGCTGCACGGACCGAGCTTTGCTCCCCTCTCCTTGCAGATTACCTCCAGTTTTCCAGGGCCGCCTCCATCATCTCCATGCTCACCACCCTCACTGGCCTTGGCTGGCTCTTATACTCTTGCCTCCCTGGAAGGGGAATTGTCTCCAACTTGGATCTGAAGCTATCCTTGCTCAGCTTCGCCTCAGGTACAGAGCTAGACCGGCAGGGTGACACGCGGCTGACACAGCCAAGGTAACAACATTCCCCAGTGGGACTTCAGCGCTCCTCCTTGGCTCTGCTCTTTCAGCACGGGACCACGCTGCCAGCCCCCTGCCCTGTATCTGTAGACAACACACCTTAGCTGCCTCAGCACGGTGGAGGCCCCTTCCTGGCTCTCTGCTGGTCAATCCCCAGTTTGGGCCGGCGCCGCGGCTCACTAGGCTAATCCTCCGCCTAGCGGCGCCGGCACACCAGGTTCTAGTCCTGGTCGGGGCGCCGGATTCTGTCCCGGTTGCCCCTCTTCCAGGCCAGCTCTCTGCTGTGGCCCGGGAGTGCAGTGGAGGATGGCCCAGGTCCTTGAGCCCTGCACCCCATGGGAGACCAGGAGAAGCACCTGGCTCCTGGCTCCTGCCATCGGATCAGCGCGCTGCACCGGCCGCAGCGCGCCGGCCGCGGCGGCCATTGGAGGGTGAACCAACGGCAAAGGAAGACCTTTCTCTCTGTCTCTCTCTCTCACTGTCCACTCTGCCTGTCAAAAAAAAAAAAAAAAAAAAAAAACAGTTTGCCCCTGTTGTCCTGGCCACGTGTTTGGGTTCTGCAGGCGGAATCAGCGGCAGGGGTGCTGGCCGAGGCAGACCCCACAGGCTGACAGGGTGTGGCCGCTTTCCCTCTCACCCCAGCTGCCTGCTTGCTGTTGTGCCTCGGCCTGTTTCTGGAGCAGGTGAGCTGGCACTCCAAGGACGCCATGGAGCCAGATTTCTTGTGGACTTACCACCTGAACTGGTGGGGAGACTTCTTGTACACGTCTGCTGGTGAGTCGGCCCTGCGCAGGCACGGAAGGGGAAGTGGCTCGGGCAAGGGAGGGAGGTAGGGTCTGGGAGGCGCGGGCGTCCCGGCCACCCCCCTCAGCACATCTGTATGGCACGGGGGAGGAAGCACGGATTTTAAACTCGGAACCTGGATTAGCAGCCTCTTCTAGCGGCGGATGAGGCATGGACTGGATGAATAACACCCAGAAAATAGTAGAACGGCGCTTGAATCCAGGAGGTGCCGGTGTTATTCTAAGCAGTCTGGGAAATCCCAAAATGTAGTGAGAGCACAGGCGGGTGAAGTGGCTGTGTTGGGGGGACGCAGCCTCACTGAGGAGACGCCTCGGCCCCAGGTATGAAATGATGGCCAAGCTGGCGTTGTGGTGCTGTGGGTTAAGTCACTGCCTGCAGTGAGAGAGCCGGTTCCGTTCCCATCTCAGCTGCGTCACTTCCGATCCAGCTCCCTGCTGACGCACTTGGGAAAGCAGAAGAAGACGGCCCAAGTCCTTGGGCGCCTGTCACCCATGTGGGAGGCCCAGACAGAGTTCCAGGCTCCTAGCTTTGACCTGTCCCTGTGCCAGCCATTGTGACCATCTGGGGAGTGAACCAGCAGATGGAAAATCAATCTCTCTCTCTCTCTCTCTCTGTGGGGGGGGGGTATGGATGTGAATTTCTCTCTCCCCCCACTCTCTGTAACTTTGCCTTTCAAATACTCTTTTTTCAAAAAATCTTTAAAAGAATGACTAATGATAAAAATATATAAAAATATATAAAATGATAAAAAGACCGGAATGACCATCTCTATGTGGACCCTCTCCTCCAACTCTCCTCTTTCCTAGGGATCATCTCTTTTCTCAACTACATATCTCTCATGGTTCTTCCCTCTGACCAAAGCGCCGCTGTGCCTGAACCAGTAGAGGCCTCGCGGCTGGGGATTGGTCCAGTGACAACAGAGGAGCTTGCTGAAGACGAGGAGTCAGATTCTTCGTAAGAAAAAAGAAAAAAATCAAGCAAACGACCAAGTACGGAACCGAGGCGGCAGCAGAAACACTTCTCTGCCGGTGGTCTTACAAATGGGGGAGAAGCGGAGTTGGCAATGATTGTGCAAATTCTCGAAAACCTTACCAATATCATGTCCATGTCACTGAAGGAGACAGCATTAAAGCTGAGAAAATGTCATATGTGCATGTTCAACCCAAAATGTGTGTGATGGCCACGAGGAAAACAGTGAAAATCCTCTCGAGATAAAATTTCTAGAAGAGGTTAGGGTCGTGAGGGAGAGAAGGTAGATGGGGTGCGTGGACACCGGGGATCATGCACCAGCAGGGCCCGTGGTGAGGAGAGCCGACCGGCCCTGTCTGGAACTTTCTTTACTGTGTGTGGCTTCGCATATGTAATCAGGGTGGAAGGCACTTGGACACGACTGCGGATTCTGCACTGGAAACCTTTCCCAGAAATGGGATAAATGGCAACGGAGATGGTATCTCCTACCCAGGGGAGCTGTGGCCTCTGGGGAACCCATGAGGCCAGGTCTCCTGTGAGGATTGGTTGCCTGGAAACCTTGCAGTCTGCAAGTCTCCCTAGGCTGGGAGACACCTGCACTGGGCCGCCATTCTACACAGTGCTTCTCTCTCTACCTTTTTTCCTGGGGAGGGGGCCACAGATGCCATCTTTTAAAATTTGTTTCAAAAATTTATTTTTTTATTTTTATTTTTATTTATTTATTTATTTTTTACTTTTTGAAAGGCAGAGTGGACAGTGAGAGAGAGACGGAGAGAAAGGTCTTCCTTTGCTGTTGGTTCACCCTCCAATGGCCGCCGCGGCCGGCACTCTGCAGCCAGCCCACCGCGCTGATCTGATGGCAGGAGCCAGGTGCTTATCCTGGTCTCCCATGGGGTGCAGGGCCCAAGCACCTGGGCCATCCTCCACGGCACTCCCTGGCCACAGCAGAGAGCTGGCCTGGAAGAGGGGCAACCGGGACAGAATCCAGCACCCCAACCGGGACTAGAACCCGGTGTGCCAGCACCGTAAGGCGGAGGATTAGCCTAGTGAGCCGCGGCGCCTGCCTCAAAAATTTATTTTAAAAGTTATTTGAGAGGCAGAGAGATGGAAAGAGACAGACAGACAGAGGGAGCGCCCACCCACTGGTTCCTACTCAAAATGCCCACAACAGCTGAGCTGGATCGGTAAGGAAGCTGGGAGCTAGGAACCGAGTCTGCCACAGTTGGGTGGCAGGGACCCAAATGCCTGAATCCTCCCTGCTCCCTCCCAGGATGCACATTAGTGGGGAGCGGGAGTCGGGAGCTGGAGCTCGGCCTTGATGCCGATGCTTTGATGTGGGATGCGGGCGTCTAACCACCGGGCCAACCTCATCGTCCTGTGACTCTCACTCCGTAGCATCAGTTCCATTTTACTGAGCCAAAAGGGCTTCCTTCAGCATATGTGTTCATGAGAAATTTCCATCAACTTCTGAAGCTCCCACGTAGGCTTGTGTGCGTGCACGTTTGTGTATGTGCGTGTTTGTGAGTGTGTGTGTGTGTGTGTGTGTGGTTTTCTTCAAGTTGAAAGCTCTGCTTTATATATACTGTAAAACTTGGGGCGGGGCCAGCACCGTGGCACAGTGGACTAAAGCCCCAGTCTGCAGTGCTTGCAACCCATATGGGCGCTGGTTCTAGTCCCAGCTGCTCCACTTCCAAGCCAGCTCTCTGCTATGGCCTGGGAAAGCAGTAGAAGATGGCCCAAGTGCTTGGCCCCTGCACCCACGTGGGAGACCTAGAAGAAGCTCCTGGATCCTGGCTTCGGATTGGCTCAGTTCCAGCCATTGCAGCCATTTGGGGACTGAACCAGCAGATGGAAGACCTCTCTCTATATCTATATCTACCTCTTTCTGTAACTGTCTTTCAAGTAAATAAAAAGAAAAGAACACCTGGGGTAAGATGTTGTGGCACAGTGGTTAAGACACCACATGGGGTGCCCGTATCCCATACTGGAGACCCTGCTGTGCTTCTGCTTCAGCTTCCTGCTACTGTGACCCTGGGAGGCAGCTGGTGACGGCTCCGGTACTCGGGTCCCTGACACCTATGAGACCTGGATGGAGTTCTAGCCCGGCTCAGCCTCCGCTGTTGTGGCATCTGGGGAGTGGACCAGCAGATGGAAGGTATCTATCCCTGTCTGTCTCTCAAATAAACAAAAAATAAAAAAAAAAAACCTTAAAAACAACAACAACAACCAAGCAATGGCGCAGGTAGTGGTGGTTTCTGGCCATCACGTAGGTCTTTTGATGACCAAGTACACCTTTCAGACACAGCCCAGATTCCACGGAGAAGGTCCCTAGCACTCAGCTTGCCTGTGCACCTCCAGTAGCGGCCGCGGGGGCTCCAGGGCTGAGGCACTCTCCTCTGAGCCTGGCCATGGCGTGGCTGCCGGCTCCAGCTTCTCCTCTCCGTGCTCTTCAAGATAAGCTTTTGGTCCTTTGAGTTTAACTTTGAAACACACGGGCAGCCCTTGTGGAAAGCAGAAATAAACAGAGCACTTAGGGAGTTCTTAGCGTTCAGGTCACTGAGCCGTAATTCCCATCATCCTCATGTGGTAACTGGAAGGCCTGTAGGTTAACGCTTCTGCTTTACTCCTGTGGGTAGCTCATGTGGGTGCACCCACACCCAGACACACACACACACACACACACATACATGCACCTTGTTTGCGCCTGACTTAGAAAATTCTTCTTGGAACAGGCGTTTGGCACAGTTGGGGTTGCCCACAGCCCGTATCAGCGGCTGGGTTTGCAGGTGATGGCTCCCGTACTTAGCTCCCTGCCGCCTCCCACAGAGGCTTCAGCTGGCCCAGCCCTGGCTGTTGTGGGCGTTTGGGGAGTGAGCCAGCAGATGGGAGCTCGCTCTCTCTCTCTCTCTCTCTCTCTCTCTCTCTCTTTACTTCTCTGTCTTTCAAATAATATGAAAATACATAAATAAAAATTAAGAAAAAGAAAGTTCCCGTCTGTGCTTGCAGGCAATTTGGTGCCACCTTACCTCCTGCACCGCCTCCCAGAAGCCGCTGTGAGTGTAACAGGAGGGTCTGGGGGCCGCAGCCCCTCCTGGGTCCCCATCGCACCCGGCTCTGCCCCACACATTGACTAGCAAAGCACTCATCATGTTCACAGTCTTTACGCTTTGGTTTGCACACCTGAATTACACGACTCCGGTGATAAGATAGTGAACACTGATGACCGTGAGGGATTTTAAGTGCAGGGGAAGGGGGCAGATCTGAGTGAGGCCAGAAGCTGGAAAACAAGTGGGCCGGCGCTGTGGTGTAGCGGGTAAAGCTGCCGCCTGCAGTGCTGGCATCCCATGTGGGCACTGGTTCGAGTCCTGGCTGCTCTACTTTCCATCCATCTCTGCTGTGGCCTGGGAAAGCAGTAGAAGATGGCCCAAGTCCTTGGGCTCCTGGATCCGTGTAGAAGACCCGGAAGAAGCTCCTGGCTCCTGGCTTTGGATCAGCCCAGCTTTGGTCATTGCAGCCATCTGGGGAGTGAACTGGTGGATAGAAGACCTCTGTGTCTCCTCTGCCTCTCTCTGCCTCTGCCTTTCAAATAAATAAATCATTTTTTAAAAAGAAAAACAAGGCTGGCGTTGTGGCTCACTTGGCTAATCCTCTGCCTGCGGTGCCGGCACCCCGAGTTCTAGTCCAGTCGGGGCGCTGGATTCTGTCCCGGTTGCCCCTCTTCCAGTCCAGCTCTCTGCTCTGGTCCGGGAGTGCAGTGGAGGATGGCCCAAGTGCTTGGGCCCTGCACCTGCATGGGAGACCAGGAAGAAGCACCTGGCTCCTGGCTTCGGATCAGCACAGTGCCGGCCGTAGCAGCCATTTGAGGGGTGAACCAATGGAAAAGGAAGACCTTTCTCTCTCTCTCTCTCTCCTCTCTCTCTCTCTCTCTCTCTAACTCTGCCTGTAAAAAAAGAAAGAAAGAAAGAAAGAAAGAAAGCAAGCAAGCAGAAGGCCTGGGCTATGTGTGGAGAAGAGGCGGTGGTGTCATGAATGTTGCCAGTGTTAGGGGCAGAGGCTACCTTTCCTCGCTCCTCCCCTTTTTAAGATTTATTTATTTATTTGAAAGGCAACATGACTGAGGAGAGAGAGATTTTTGCATCTACTGATTCACTTCCCAAATGGCTGCAAGAGCAGGGACTAGGCCAGGCCGAAGTTTCTTCCAGGTCTCCCACGTGGGTGCAGGGGCCCAAGGACTTGGGTCATTTTCCACTGCTTTCCCAGGCGCATTAGCAGGGAGCTGGATCAGAAGTGGAGCAGCCGGGACTTGAACCTGTGCTCACATGGGATGCCGGTGCTGCAAGCATGAGCTTAACCCATGATGCCACAATGCTGGCTCCTATATCCACTTTTTTACTGCTCTGTTTTATGTTTTTCTGTGTTAAATCACCCATGATTTTACACTTTTGCCTTTTTCCCTTGTACTTCTGTGTCTTTTTAAATATATTTTAAAATTTATTTATGTGTTTTATTTATTTGAGAGAGGTCGAGGGGGAGAGAGAGAGAGAGAGACAAGGAACTTCCATCTGTTCTCTGAACCAAGGCCCTCTGATATGGGACATGGTCATTTTAATAAAAGTCAACTGTTAGGCCAAATGCCTGTCCCTGTTGCTCATATTTCAGTATTACTTTATTATAGAAGCTATTTTTCCTTTTAGTGAATGCAAGTAGAAATGATTTCAAAATATTATATGAAAAAAAAATGCTTACAATGAAAATGAAGCTCCCCCAACCCACAGCAGAGCACCTGGGTTCAAGTCTCAGCTCTGCTCTTGATTCTGGCTTCCTGTTGATGCAGACCCTGGAAGGCAGCTTCAGCTTGGCCCAGCCACAGCTGTTGTGTTTGGGGATTTAACCAGTAGACGGGAGTTAGTCTCTCTCTCTCTCTCTCTCTCTCTCTCTCTCACTAACTCTGTCAAATAAATAAATAATAAATAAAATTTAAAAAAAAAAAAAAGAAAGAAAGCAAGCAAGCTGTGGCCGGAACCCGGGCCGAGAAGACAGCAGCTGCTCTAAGGCAGTGGGGGCAGAAACTCAAGATGGGTTTGAAAGCTTCCGGGCGGTGCGACTGGCAGGATGCTTTGTGACTGGGCGGGTGTGGCAGGGGAGGCAAGTAAAGGGCCCAGGAGAGGTCACCTGCTCGCTGCAGGTGAGGGGTTGCAGCTGCCCCCAGGCTACCTGGAAACTCCTGCAGGGTCTGCTGTGGGACCGGTGAGCAGATGGGTCCCACGGCTCTGCCAGGCTCTAGGACGGGAAGCGGGGAAGGCAAGGCCACGGTCTTCCATTCTGCCTTGCCAAGAAATAAAATCAATCGTTAAAAAAGTTATCTCAAAATAAAACAAGTTAATGTTAACAAATAGAATCAGTCAGAGACTGGTACAAGAGGAGAAAGCCACACACACACACACACACACACACACACACACACACCCTGCCCCAAGGGGAGAGGGCAAGGCTTTCCCTCCGGTATTGTACGGGGCCAGGTCTCGTCCGGAGAGGACGCAGCACTTCATCCGCAAAGGTGCCAGCTCCCTGGGCTTCCTCCTCGTGCCGCCGCTCTGCCTGTGCCCCTGTGGGCTCTGGACTGGACCGTGTGCACCACAGCCTTTGCTGTGGCCACACACTGACAGCCCCCTGTAAGTGCTACCTAAACTCCAGACTCTCCTTTGGCTGCAATCCTCAGAGCTCCACACGCCCTCTCCATAGCCCGCAGCCCGCTCCACTCTCCCCTGCTGATTCTCAGCCATGTAGGGTCAGTCCCCCAAAGGGACTTGAGATGTCCCCAGTGCGTAAAAGCCACAGCCCCTTCATTACTGAAACGGATGCCTCATGCCTCAAGCTTTCTCTTAACGTTTCCACAGAGGGAGGGATATAGGTCATTCAACCTTAGCATGGATGTCACCTCATACCCTACCTTAAGCGACCTCTCAAGGTACTAGTTATAATGCCAACTTTTCTCTCGTTGTGGAATAAGCTGTTTATTCCCTTGTTAACAGGACTCCAGAGGGAAGGAGGAGATGAAAAAGGGGTCTAGGCTGGCGCCGCGGCTCACTAGGCTAATCCTCCGCCTTGCGGCGCCGGCACACCGGGTTCTAGTCCTGGTCGGGGAGCTGGATTCTGTCCCGGTTGCTCCTCTTCCAGGCCAGCTCTCTGCTGTGGCCAGGGAGTGCAGTGGAGGATGCCCAAGTGCTTGGGCCCTGTACCCCATGGGAGACCAGGAGAAGCACCTGGCTCCTGGCTTCGGATCAGCGCGGAGTGCCAGCCGCGGCGGCCATTGGAGGGTGAACCAATGGCAAAGGAAGACCTTTCTCTCTGTCTCTCTCTCTCACTGTCCACTCTGCCTGTCAAAAAAAAAAAAAAAAGGGCGGGGGTCTTCATGGTGCCTGGGAAGCCCCTCACCCAGGGGCTTACTCTGAGTCTGCTATGTGGGAGGCGACCACAGGCTCTGTCTCCGTTTGCCCCCACGCTGGCTCCCCCTCATCTCTCAGGGCAGGTAGCCTGTGCTGCAGACACATCCCTTCTTTCCCTCCCCTGGCAGGCTACCTCCAGCTCTCCAGGGCCTTCCTCCTCATCTCTGCCCTCCTCATCCTCATCGCAAGCATCTGGCTCAGCATCAAGGAGCTGGCAGACAAGGCTTGCACTGATCTGGACAATTTCACCGTCTGTTTCATCTCAGGTACAGCACGATGAAGTCCCAGAATTCCTTCCCTCAAAGGGAGGCTTAACCTCCTGCACCACGGTGTATTTAGAATCCAAATTCAAGCACTGGTTTACATAGTAACAGCGAAACACAGGCATATGTGTATTTCATTATGTTCTATATTTGTAAAGCAAAATGTATTCGAGAGCACAAGGCTTGTAGAAAATTTCAAATCTCACCATGCTTTTTCTGACATTTTCAGATCTAATCTCAGTGATAGCAAAAGACATTTGAGGGGCTGGCACTGTAGCATATTGGGTTAAACCGCTGCCTGCAGTGCCAGCATCCCATATGGGCATTGGTTTGAGACCCAGCTCTCTGCTATGGCCTGGGAAAGCAGTAGAAGGTGGTCCAAATGCTTGGGCCCCTGCACCCACGTGGGAGACCCAGAAGAAGCTCCTGGCTTCAGATCGGCACAGCTTCAGCCATTGTGGCCATCTGGAGAGTGAACCAGCAGATGTCTCTACCTCTGCCTCTGCCTCTCTGTAACTCTGCCTTTCAAATGAATAAATAAAATAAATCTCTTTTTTAAAAAAAGGACAGTTGAAGTTAGTAAATGTGCTTTTGCTTAACACAGAAAGTGTTTTTTATTTTGTACATAGCACATAGCTTCCTATATGCAACTTGTTATTACATGTTGATCTTTGGAGAAGCAGCATTCCATTAGCATTTTTCCTGTCTTATATTCTCCTTCCTTCCTTCCTTCCTTCCTTCCTTCCTTCCTTCCTTCCTTCCTTCCTTCCTTCCTTCCTTCCTTTCTGGCTAGGAGCCAGGTGCTTCTTCCTGGTCTCCCATGGGGTGCAGGGCCCAAGTACTTGGGCCATCCTCCACTGCACTCCCTGGCCACAGCAGAGAACTGGCCTGGAAGAGGGGCAACCGGGACAGAATCCGGCGCCCTGACCGGGACTAGAACCCAGTGTGCTGGCGCTGCAGGCAGAGGATTAGCCAAGTGAGCCACGGCACCGGCCCCTTTCTTTCTTTTTTGTTAAGATTTATTTGCTTATTTGGGGGCCAGCGCTGTGGCAAGCAGGTAAAGCCACTGCCTGCAGTACCAGCATCCCATGTGGATACCAGTTCGAGTCCCAGCTGCTTCACTTCCAATCCAGCTCTCTGCTATGGCCTGGGAAAGCAGTAGAAGATGGTCCAAGTCCTTGGGTCCCTGTATCCTCATGGGAGTCTTGGAAGAAGCTCCTGGCTTCAGATTGGCCCAGCTCTGGCCATTGCTGCCATTTGGGGAGTGAACCAGCAGATGGAAGACATCTCTTTCTCTCTTTCTGTAACTATGCCTTTCAAATACATAAATTATTCTTTGAAAAAGATTTATTTGGCCGGCGCCGGGGCTCACTAGGCTAATCCTCTGCCTTGTGCCGCCAGCACACCGGGTTCTAGTCCCAGTAGGGGCCCCTGTACTCTGGGAAGACCCAGAGGAAGCTCCTGGATCCTGGCTTCAGATCGGCGTAGCTCCAGCCATGGCAACCAACCGGGGAGTAAACCAGAGGATGAAAGACCTCTCTCTCTGCCTCTCTTTCTTTCTCTGTGCAAGTCTGACTTTCAAATAAATTAACAAATAAATAAAGGGCATGTGTGGTAGTCACACACACATACGCGCACGCGCGCGCACACACACACACACACACACACACACACACACTGAACTTCAGGAGTGTTGAAATACTGGCAGTTCCCCAAAACAGGCCACAGCTTAAGCACGCTGTATTCTTTTCATCCTTGCAGGTCACACTCCCATTGCCCAGAACATCATTGATTTTTCCTCCCATGATTAGCTCAGGCCACACTTCCCCTAGGAAGTTCTCCGTGATAGTCTTTGTCTGTAGCCCACACTGAGTTAGACATCTGTCTTCTGGCTGCCCTAACATTTGGATCATACGTCCACCATAGCATCTGTTGCATTATAGTATCATTAATAGTTTATATGTTGTGCTAAGACAGGAGCCGGGAACTCTATCTGGGTCGCACACGTGGGTGGCAGGGATCCAAGCACTTGGACCATCTTCCACTGGCTTCTCAGGTGCATTAGGAGGCAGCCGGATTGGAAGTGCAGCAGCTAGCACTCAATATGTGAGTCTCTGATACGCGATGCCGGCATCTCAGGCAGCAGCTTAACCTGCCATGCTGTGACACTAGCCCCATCTCTGAGCATCTTGAGAGCTGAAACGCTTTTATTGGTCTAGCATAGGACCCGACACGATGTTGGTGAACAGCTGAGGTGTTGGATTAACTAACAAATACACAGGCCTAGGAGAAGAGTGCAGCAGCACTTCTGACACCTGGCGACTCAGTAATCCTCGGTGCTCCTCTACGGGCGGCTGCTGTGAACAGACAGCACTGTCAGCCTCGCGCTTATTCAGGCTAAGACGAGGCTCTGCGCGTTTCCTGCGTCCAATATGAGAACAGTGAGTCCTTTATGGCCACCACGTCATTACAATCCATAACGAAAAGCCCAATTTCTTTTTAAAGTAGATTTGCTTTTATGTACTTGAAAGCCAGAGTGCCAGAGAAAGAGAGAGATACTGTGAGAGAGGGAGAGATAGATAGATGTATTTTCCAACTGCTGGTTCACTCCCCCTAAATGGCCACAACTGTCAGGGCTGGGCCTAGTTGAAGCCAGGAGCCAGGAACTCCCTCTGGGTCTCCCTCAGGAGTACAGGGGCCCAATAACTTTGGCCATCATCACTGTTTTCCCAGGCACATTAACAGGGACCTGGTTTGGAAGCAGAGCAGCTAGGACTTGACTGATATTCTGATACGGGATGCTAGCGTTGCAATCAGCAGTTAAATTGTTTTTAAAATTTTTAGTTATTTGAAAAGCAAGAGACAGAGAGACAGAGGTCTTCCATCTGATTGTTCACTCCCTCAAAGCCCACACAGCCAGGGCTGGCAAGACTGAAGCCAGGAGCCTGGGTCCCCATGTGGGTGGCGGGGACCTAAGTACTTGAGACATGGCCTCCTCCCTCCCAGGTTGGGCATTTGCAGGAAGCTGGAGTCAGGAGCAGAGGTGGGACTCAAACCCAGGCCCGCCCACGTGGGATGCGGGTGTCCCCAGCAGCGGTTTCATTGCAGCACTGAGCCGCCCCATTCCTGCTTTTAAATTCAGATGAGAAAACAGGCGCTGGACAGGTTAGGTGATTTGTCACTTCCTTAGTAAATGGGGTTTCTCGCTGTGGAGCCCATGGTGCATCTCAGAGTGAGCTGAGCCGGGATGTTCCCTTTGCACAACATCTCTGGTCCCACCCTCTGCACCTGCAGCCTCCCACACATGCTCACTTGGAAGAAAACAAAGTCTGCCGCTCACAGACGCAGCTTGACCTGGGGTCAAAAACCAAACAAAAAACCAAACCTGTCCACACATACCTGGCTTAGCAAACAAATACACCAATTGATAACTACGACATCACCTCCCTGTGGGACTACTCCGTTTACATGCAGGGTGGTGATTTTAATTTTTACTACCACTGCAAACTCTCCAAATGTGTCCTCTGCTCACTGCTTCAGCATTTGAGTGCCTCAATGTTGGATTATCTTCTCATGAAAGCAGAATGTGAGGTAGCTCCCTTTTTTTAAAAAGATTTATTTATTTATTTGAAAGTCAGAGTTACACAAAGAGAGGAGAGGCAGAGAGAGGAGAAAGAGGTCTTCCATCCGATGGTTCACTCCTCAATTGGCCGCAACGATGGGAGCTGCGCTGATCTGAAGCCAGGAGCCAGGAGCTTCTTCCAGGTCTCCCACGTGGGTGCAGGGGCCCAAAGACTTGGGCCATCTTCTACTGCTTTTCCAGGCTATAGCAGAGAGCTGGATCAGAAGTGGAGCAGCTGGGTCTCAAACCGGTGTCCATATGAGATGCCGGTGCTTCAATCCAGGGCGTTAACCCTCTACACCGTAGCACCGGCCCCTCCCTTATTTTTTTTTTTTTTAAGATTTATTTATTTATTATTTGAAAGACAGAGTTTGAGAGAGGCAGAGGCAGAGAGAGAGAGAGGTCTTTCATCTGCTGGTTCATTCCCCAAATGGCCACAATGGCCAGAGCTGAGCTGATCTGAAGCCAGGAGCCAGAAGCTTCTTCGGGGTGTCTCATGCAGGTACAGGGGTCCAAGGACTTGGGCCATCTTCTGCTACTTTCCCAGGCCATAGCAGAGAGCTGGATTGGAAGTGAAGCATCAGGGACTCGAGCTGGCATCCATACAGGATGTTGGCACTGCAGGTGGCGGCTTTACCTGCTGTGCCACAGCTCGGGCCCCAAGGTAGCTCCTTTAAGAATTCTAGACCAGGGACTGGTGTTGAAATTCAGTGGGTTAAGCTGCACCCTGCAATGCTGGAGTCACAAATAAGTGCTTGTTTATGTGCCAGCTGCTGCACTTCTGATCCAGCTCCCTGCTAATGCACATGGGAAAGCAGCAGAGGATGGCCCAAGCCTTTGGGCCCCTCTACCCACGTGGGAGATGTGGATAAAGTTCCTGGCTCCTGGACTCTGCCTGACACAGCTCCAGCTGTTGTGATCATTTGGGGATGAGCCAGTGGAAGGAACATCTCTCTTTCCTTCCCTCTCTGTAACCCTGCCTTTCAAATAAATAAATAAATCTCTGAACAAACAGAATAAAAGAAAATAAAAGAATTCTAGATCAGGGGCTGATGTGGAGTCTCAGCTGCTCTGCTTCCAATCTGGCTCCCGGCTAGTGCACCTGGGAAAGCAGCAGCAGATGGCTCAAGTGCTGGGGCCTTGCTATGTGGGAGACCTGGGTGGGGTTCCTGGCTGTTGGCTTTGGCCTGGCCCAGCCTCAGCTGTTGTGGCCTTTTAGGAAGTGAAGTAGCAGATGCAAGTTCTCTCTCTCTCTCTCTCTCTCTCTCTCTCTCTCTCTCTTTGCCTTCCAAATAAATCTTTTTAAAACAGAGAGGGAGAAAAAGAACCAATGAGAAGGTTTTCATTGCTGTGGGCTTTGGGGTTCTTTGGACCTGTTAGGTGCTGCACTTCATGGGTCCACCTCCCCACCCCCCCACCCCCCGGCTTCAGGTCCTCTCAGGCTCCTTCTCTCCTTTGTGGCAAAGAGGCCCTGTACCTCTTGTCGGCAGTGCACCTGCAGCCTACCCTCTCTTGCTATGGAAGACTAAAAGCTGAGCAGCATCGTGGACGTGGACGTGGGGTGGGTCCTGAGCAGACCTGCATGAGGTGTGCCCGGAGGGGACACACACCTGACATAACTCCACCCCACTCCACCCCCCCAGTCCACACGGTCTTCACTGCATCACTGAGACCCCGAAGAAGGAACAGCAAAGAATACTGACGTTGAGGCAATGGTGGCAAGAGTCGACAGACTCACGTCCACCAGCTCACAGCCTGCGGTTTATTTTAGCTCATTCCAACATTATCAAAAGCTTGAAGGTGCATTGGCAAAGGCAGATACGGGGATGACTAATGTTGTAGGCATCAAGGGTTGGGTTGGGAATGGCTTGAGGACATAGAGTCTTCCCCTCCCCTT